AATGTGAAACTCTTATTTGAAGTTTCACATGTGGGAGTGTGGGAGAGCAAAATTTGTCACCCCAAAATATGTCTCTTTGGCATCAGGATTACTTTAGGCTAGTTCTTGTGGCTAATCTAATAATAAAATTAAAATGAGGCAGATTAACAGGAGAAAAACAAATTAAAGTTTAATAACATTCATACCTCCTGTATACAGGAAAACTGAGTAAATTGCCCAAATGGTGGAAGCCACCACCTTAAATACCACCTTCAGCTGAAAAAGACCTTGGGAATGGAGAGCCAGTTATGGGAGGTTACCAGGAAAAGCAAACTAAACAAGTGTAAGACTGTTAAGCAGATTTCAGCCCAGGTCAATAAATCTATTGTTAACAGTTTCTTCTACAGATTTGGATATCTTCTTCCTGGCACAGTAAGGGAAAGACCCTTACATCTGTAAGATTTTCCTTATAAGTGTAAACGTCCTTTTACAAAGGGTAGCTTCTACAGTGGAACCTCCTTTCTAATTCATTCTGGAAGGCAGTTTGGAAACCGAATCATTTTTTTCTTTTTTTCCCATTAGAAAACATGTAAATTGAATTAATCCATTCCAGCCGGAACCGGTTTGGCTCAGTGGATAGAGCGTCGGCCTGCGGACTGAAAGGTCCCAGGTTCGATTCCGGTCGAGGGCATGTGCCTGTGTTGTGGGCACATCCCCAGTAGGAGATGTGCAGGAGGCAGCTGATCGATGTTTCTCTCTCATCAATGTTTCTAACTCTCTATCTCTCTCCCCTTCCTCTCTGTAAACAATCAATAAAATATATTTTAAAAAAATCCATTCCAGACTCCCAAATGATTCCCTGTTTTATCCTTTCTTATATATAGTACATGTCTAATGTGCTGTTTAATCTATAAACAATGTAAATGAAAACTTAGCAAAAAGGAAGTGAAATGTACAGTTAAAAATGAAAATTTAATAATAATAAGCAGCAACAGCAAAAAAAAAAAAAACACCCCGAAAATATTCACAGTATTTTATGAAAATCCAATACTCTTTCATGATAAAAACACGTAAAGTCAGTATAGAAGGGAACTTCTTCAACATAAAAAAAAGCATCTAACATTCAGCTAAACTCACAGCTAACAACACACCTAGGCAGTGAGAGATTGATGCTTTCTTCCTAACATAAGGAACAAAACAAGGATGTCTGCTCTCACCACTTCTATTCAACATAGTACTAGAGAGTCCTGCTGTAGCAGTTGGTCAAGACAATGAAATAAAAGGCATCCAGACTAGGAAAAAAAACGTAAAACTATTTCTCTTTCCAGATGACATGACAAAGTAGATAGAAAATCTGGAGGAGTTCAAAGTGATTACAGAACAAGATTAAAAAATCAATTTTAGCCGAAACCGGTTTGGCTCAGTGGATAGAGCATTGGCCTGTGGACTGAAGGGTCCCAGGTTTGATTCCGGTCAAGGGCATGTACCTGGGTTGCGGGCACATCCCCAGTGGGAGATGTGCAGGAGGCAGCTGATCGATGTTTCTCTCTCATCGATATTTCTAACTCTCTATCTCTGTCCCTTCCTCTCTGTAAAAAATCAATAAAATATATTTTAAAAAAATCAATTCTATTTCTATATACTTGCAATGAACAATGTGAAAATGAAATTTATATAGACACACAATTTTATTTACAATGGCATCAAAATTAAAATATTAGGAATGACACTAATAAGATTCAATATTTATAATCTGAAAATTAAAAAGCATTGTTGAAAGAAATGAAAATTTAAAATACATAGAAAAGTATGTGCTTATCAACTGGAAGATTAACATAAACATTAATTAGTATTGTTAAGATGGCACTGCTACCTAAATTGATCTACAGATACAATGCAATCTCTACCAGAATCTCAGCTGGAAAAAAAGAGTCCCAGGTGATTTATTTGTAGGAATTGATAAGCTCATTTAAAAATTCATAAGGAATGCCCAGCCAGTTTGGCTCAGTGGTTGAGCATCAAACTAAGAACCAGGAGATCATGGTTCAATTCCTAGTGAGGGCACATGCCTGGATTGCGTGCTCAATCAACAGTAGGGGGGGGGCATGCAGGAGGCAGCCAATCAAAGATTCTCTCTCATCGTTGATGCTTTTATCATTCTCTCCCTCTCCCTTCCTCTCTGAAATCAACAAAAATCTATTTTTTAAAAAAATGCATAAAGAATTGCAAGAGATCCAGGATATCTAAAACAGTAGGAGGACTCACACTTCCTGACTTTAAAACTTACTATAAAACAACAGTAATCAAGATCTCGTGGTACTGGTATAAGGATACACATAGATAAATGGAATAGGATTGAGAGTCCAGAAATCAACCCATGATCAAATGTTTTTTTTAATTTTTTAAAATACATA